GGGTGGTCGCCAGTTGGCATTGCCCAGTGGATGGAATTCGGAAGAGGCCTACTCTGTGTGATCTAATGGGTCTTTGGGAGGTTCTTGGCAGCAGGCGGTCTCTCAAGTACCCAGGTCCAATACCATGAAGGGCTTTATAAGTGACTAGCGCCTTGAAGCGTATCCAAAGACCAATAGGCAGCCAGTGCAGCTCGCGGAGGATAGGTGTAACGTGGGTGTACCGAGGTGCACCCACGATCGCTCGCACGGCTGCATTCTGGACAAGCTGAAGTCTCCGAATGCTCTTCAAGTATGCTAGTACTTTCCCAGTATCTGAGGAGGCATACTCAGAAAAAGGTCAAGGCCAATTTTCTTATACCCGTATGGATCAATGTGCCCAACAATGGATCGAGGTGACAAGAAGGCAGATTAGGAAAAACTTCCTGCAGTTCGACAATGGAACCAATGACCCACTAGCACTAGTCAGGCAACTGGACTTGAAGGATTAAATGAGTCCTTCAAAAGCTCCTGTTTTATGATTTAAACAAGATATTGATCCATAAGATAACCAAATGGGTTTGATACACACAGTTTGTTAAGCTACAAAGCACAAGCTGAAGTTAAAATGAACCAAGTTTAGCTTGATGCATACATGCTAGAGTTTTAACAGATGTGATCAAATAAATTGTGCAAACAGCCATTGTCTGACTGCATGTAACAGGGTAACGCCTAAGTCGGGGGTAGGAGATACAATTGCCATGTTCATGTGACATGCTATGCCTAAGAAATAATCTCTATTAGACGGACTAAGTTTTTGCCATAAACTAAGCCAGGGTGTTTCTGGAATTCCTTCATGATGCCAAATAAGATGAGTTCACATGCTGCATTGCTCCTAATCCCATTTTCCTTTTTTATCCAGGCTTGATGAGACCTATACAGTGAAAGTGGCAGACTTTGGGCTGGCCAGAGATATCTTTGACAAGGAATATTACAGCATCCGGCAACACCGCAGGGCAAAGCTGCCTGTCAAATGGATGGCCCTTGAGAGCTTGAAAACTCAAAAATTCACCACCAAGTCAGATGTAGTAAGTGCAAGCAGGGGCATCCGATGCCCAGGCTGCTAAAACATTGCCCCCCGGTTGTTGTTGTCCTGGCTACATGGTCTGCACTCACAGGAAATGGCGAACCACAAATTAGCCGACTCCATGTTCGTGTTTTGCTGGACCCAGTTGTTATAAATAGATTTTGGTTTGTAGTGTTGTTCAACCCACAGAATTGGATTGAATGGCTATGCCTTGATTTGTTAATGTGTTGTGGCAACACAGCCACAGTTTTATGTGAGGGATATGCAAAATAGGCCATTATGAAAGCTCCTGCTAAGAATGTATAACTTTCCTAGCATGCATTACTTAGTGTGAGGATCTACCTGGACTCCAATTTATGCTAGTCTCAGAAAAACATGCATATGCAACGGAGTCCTTTTCCCTTTGCAATTTGCAGAGAAAGGACGGTCTAGCTGGAGATTTTGCCTACCCTCGTGACGGTTTGCGTTTTCTCTGTGTCCCATTCATATTGACATCTGTACTTTCCCTGTTCTGTTGTCTTACCAGTGGTCCTTTGGGGTCCTCATGTGGGAACTAATGACACGAGGGGCCTCTCCATATCCTGAGGTGGATCCCTATGATATTACCTGCTACCTGTTGCAAGGAAGAAGGTTGCCCCAGCCTGAATACTGCCCGGATTATCTGTGAGTATTCAATTGGACCCTTCTGCTAGCTTAGCCAAGGAGAAAACTGTAAAAGAGATGAAACGCTATGGGAAGTACCAGAAAAGGTCTTCGGATTCCTGAACTTTAATTGATAAACTAATTTGTAAATTTCAATTAAGTACTGCAATTAATTAACTTTTTAAAAAAGCACAATGGGAATGTTAATTAGTTTTTCGTTCTTAGTTCTGTGAAACTTGTGTTCTTACTGCAGCTTTCCCCAAACTATTAACCCACTGAAGTATCTATGTTGTATCTCTTAAATGTGGTCATATCTTAAGGGGCTATTTAAGAGAAGTATTCCGTGGAATTCTCATGATCATCTGGATCTTAGCATATCCTTCCCCTTTTGCACTCCTCATTACACTCTGTTGGATCCATTTTCTACATTTTCCAACGCTAACAATTCCCATTTGGTTCTTAATCCAGCATAACATAATTATGCTATTTCTGTGTTAGAACAGTGTTATATAAAGCCTCCAACTAGAATCCTGCAGGAATAAAAAGTCAAGAGATAAGACTACAGTGCAGAACTGAAGGGAGCCTCTGCCTTTAGTTATTATGAGAATGTCAGTGATATAGACCCTTGTGTACATGACTATAGCATCGTGAGATACAAAGGCCAAGGTTGGTGTTTTCATAGCTCTAATTCACTCTGTTTATTTTGGACAGGTATACCATAATGCTTAACTGCTGGACACCAAATCCTGAGGAGCGGCCAACTTTTTCCAGCCTGATCAAAGAAGTGGAGCATATTGTAGCCTGTCTAAAGGGAGACCATTACATTAACCTCAACGTCACTTACGTCAACCTTGATCATGGCCATCCCTTTCCCCCTATAATCAGTCAGGAAGAAGCATTTGATTCTAGTGGACTGAGTGAGGAAGAGGATGCCTCTGAGTGTTAAGTGATACCTCACACAGGTCCAGAGGCACGTTGCTGGGTATAAGCAGGACACTTTGACTGTCAGGCTTTGGAACTTCTGGATAAGTTTTTGCACATCCTGTGAGTTCATAAAAGCTGTAATCCAAGGACTTCTGTGACCTGAATCCTGTGCTCAGAAAAGGTGGAAATAAATTCAAAAGGTAGGGCAGGTTCCCTACAGCTTTAGGAAAGAGTTGCTTTCAGAATACTTGGTGGTTTGAGTGTGGGAATATGTTTTTACTGTGAAGTAATTTAATGTGGCAGCCTGTGGCTGCATCTGTATATAGAGAAAAATAAATTTACTGTTATGAATTCCTATCAGGCTGTTTTATGCAATAATTTCTTTAGAGTCACTATCACCTAATATTAACAATATTTTAGTCACGATTTGTTAAATAAGCCACAATCGCCTCCTNCACGAGGTGGGGGATGTAAGATGTTGAATTTGGTGTCTCCCCAAACCCTTAAAATTGAAAACTTGATGATAGTATCCATCAGAAATATCTCTGGAGGATTCAGGATGATCCCACACCACTATTTGGATGTCTCCTCTGAGGACTCAAGATACTGCCTCTGACCCTGATCCTTCTTGGTTTTACATGGGATTCAAATCCATTCTACCAGTTTTTGACAGCATGTCAAAATCAGCCAGATCAGTGGACAGGAAGGACTTGGTTTGGGGCGCCCACGAACGCCAAACCTTCTCCACCCAAAATAAAATGTTTTTCAACATTGCAGTTGGAATTGGAAAAAAACGATGCCGAGACGGCAGCTTCGCAGTTTCAAAAGGAAGAGTGGGAGAAGTTGAATGGGCTTCTGAAGTGGCAGAAAGCAGAAACGGACCGACTCCGCCGAGCCTTAGACCAGGCTAAAAATGGTTTGTTTCTTTTCTCTTTGCTTTTCGGGAAAAGTGGATGAATTGGCGCTCTTCCGCGAAAAAAGTTGTGTCAACAGAATAATGAACGTGCTTAAAACAATAAGACAGCCGGCTTGCTTAGAAAAAGATACTGAATTTTTAAATTCCCTTGTAGGCAGCAGGGCGGAAATTGAAAGCATACTGGGGGAAATCGAAGGACTCCGGCGTACGATCTCTCAGCAGAATGATACCATCACCAACTTCATGGCGCCACTCCAGCAGACTCAACATCTCTTTTTTGTGCCGTCGTCATCCCAAGTATGAACCCCCTCACACCTTGAAAGAAACTTTAAATCAAATCAAGCAGAGTGGTTTACAGGGCTGTCCCTTCTTTTCATTAAAAAAAATATATCTGGAGTTAGGAAAGCATTTTATTTCGCTTCATCCCACCTACAGCTGGCTACTTGTACACTTCTTTCCACCTTGCTAAGCCGAAGTAAGATAAATATTTTGAGTTTTCCTGAGTGGAAGTCCGAAGTAAGCCCAGCCAGTTCCTATTATCCACAGTTTCCTTACAGATTTTTTTCCGTGCAGCCTGGTTATATCTGAAGGGAGAAGAGACTCAGTCCCCAAAGAGAAGGAAAATTTCAACATTTATAGACAGTGTTGGGAATGCCACAATTTGGAGGACTTCCATAACAAAATGATTCTGGCCCTTTTCCTCCCTTTCTTTACCCTTTGCACTTACAGATGTTTGCATATTTATAGCGCATAAGTCAGCTTTTGTAGCATAGCATGTTGCCATATTTTGATAGAAGAGTTCATAGTTGTACAGTGTACAAAGTTGTACAATGGGTGTCTTTCTGCCTATTGCAGTGATCGGCAACCTTAAACACTCAAAGAGCCACAAAGGCCCTAACCTGGAGCCGACCAGAAGTCCGGTTCCCCCACCATAGAGTCTCCTCCTAGCACGGCATCCTTTTTCCTCCACCTGTCATAACCTATCAATTGTGGCGCTGACCGGAAAACCCGCCCCTTGCCATAAGAGACTGGTGCGCCCTGCTTTCCCCCCCTCCCTTGAACAAACTGAAAGTTCCTCTCAAAATTGTGGTGCCGACTGGTGACAGGGAGCTGCAGCAGAGCAATGAAAGAGCCACATGCAGCTCCAGAGCCGTGGGTTGCTGACCCCTGGCCTATTCCCAGGATCTGAAATAATAGTTTTTACTCCCTTATTTTTTGCCTGAAATGCTCTCATTGCATTGGGGGCCTCCCCTCTTGGGAATATTTGTCTCAACTCAAGTTGTTTATTTGTTGTCGTTTATCTTCTTTTTCCAAGGCGTCAACTCCTGCATCTCAGAGCACCAAAGATTCGGGCATTATCTTACAGTGTCCTGTGTCGACTCCCATGGTCAAACAGGACAGGAAGCTGTCCGAAAGCAAGAAAGCACATTATCCTGCTTCAAAAGAGTGCAGCTGCACAGCTGGCCTGCAAGAACCTTCCTCTAGCAGTAAGTCAGTTCAGCTAACTATCTTGCAAATTGCAAACACGCTGTTTCTTTTTCTGAGAGCGCCTCTCTTCGCTCCTTGTGTCTTTGGGTTCCACAAAAAGTTTCTCACCCGTGCCATCCAGTGTTTAACTGGGATTCTGTTCACTGTGTTTCACCCTCATAGGGCACCAAGGTGACGGGGAAACCCGCCCCAGCGCTGCTCCTTGCGTTCTGCCTCCTGGATCCATCATTTATACCCTGCTGCCAGATGGCAACCCAGTGCCCCAGGGGACAGTGCTGTATGGCCTACAGCCTCCCTCTGCGCAAGCCCACGGAGGCCCAGTTGCTCCCACCTCAGTGGTCTATGGCTCACCTCCCACCGGAGTCCAGCTGCATTATGGTCTTCTTCCTGCTAACTATTCTGTGCCATTGGTTCCCCTGGGAACCCTTCATTGCAACATCCCCGACCACCGAAACTTGGTAAGAGGCTAGGTAATTGGGTTTTTGAAACGAAACTCATTATTGATAAGAGGAGGAACTCATTATCTTTGGATTTTATGTTGTGGCTCAGAGATGGGCGCCAACAACGTAGCCTAACCCCTTACGTCCATTCTATCCATCAGTAATCTGGAAATGGTTCATACTTGGCTAGGATAGTGACAAATGTGTTGAGCCTTTTTGCTCTAGAACATAGAATAATAGTTGGGAGCTTGCAGGTCAACTAGTCCAACCCCCTGCTCAAACAGCATACCCCAAAACAGGTGGGAGGGTGGACATGTGGTGGATGGATGGATGATCGGATAGAAGGAAGGGATAGATAGCCAGTCATAGAGTCTGGGGAAGTCTCTGAGATGGCTCTGCATCAGAGGCAGAGAGTGGGCCAGGGCCATATGCCAATTATCAGCTGCCTTCAGAGTCAGTGAGGCAGATGAACAGCTGGAGCCTGTTCCCAGTGTGCGCATGCACAGAGTTGCCAGGAGAAGGGAACAGCTAAAGAAGGGTCGGCTTGGGAGTAAGGCCACAGGGGGACGATGAATGGCCCCTCCCATAGCGAATAAAAGAGGAGGGAAAGGGGAGTGGAGTTTGCAGGAGACAATTAGTTTATTCCTGCATTCTTGCCAATTATTGCGGCGTCTGAAAGATATTGGCCTGGCCACTCTCCAAGCCTAATAAAGGTCAGTAATTGTGAATTATCTTGAAAGATTGAGGGTCGGGACTTTGCTGGAGAGGAATTCACTGTAAATTAAATAAAAGGGGTTTATGGGGACGAAGACTCAGCTTCATGCTGCTGGGGAAGCCTAGGTCAGAACAGGCAGCCCCTTAAATATTGAATCCCCTGATGGAATCAGGAGATGGACTCTAGTGATGTACTTGGTCTCCACCTTTTGCAGGAAAATGAGATCTTGAGGCTAGAGGACAGCATAGAAACATTGAGGTCTCAGCGATACAAAGATGGGTCCTCCAGAACTTCTCGTGAAGCTAATAAAGAGATGGAAGAATTGAACCAGGGCATACAGGACTTGTTGAAGGAGAAAGAAGATCTGGAGTACCAAGTCGCAGAACTGCAGCGGGTAGCCCGGAAGAGAAGTAAACACATGTGAGCAAGCTCTGTCGCAAAACATTTAACAACCACAATAAAATCTATCCTGAGATTTTCCTCTGCTTGGAAGGCTGTGGCACTTTTTTAGCCCATTCAGCAAGAAAGAGCCAGGAGATGCCGTTTAGCAAGTTTTTCCTGTGAAGCTCCTGTCATATATGCAGCAAGCTATTTTTTCTTGTCAGGATGACTTTATCAATCTCATACTATTATTTATTAAATGAATAACTTTCCTTTCAGAGCTCTTGTTTAGCTAAAAATTGGTGTTTAAGGGATGGGATCAATTTAGCTAAGGACGACGGCAGAAAATCAATGATATTTTTTGGTACCTATCTCCCTATCTTCTCTTTCTCTCTGCTTTAGAGATTTGATCGAAGGCCGTGGGGACGGCCTCACTGCAGAGCTGGAATTGGAGAATTCGATCCAGTGCCATGAAAGTATCATGGATGAAATTGAATGTGTGGAAAAGACACTTCTGAAGCGACGGGCAGAACTCCGAGAGGCAGACTGTCTTCTGTCCGAAGCTGCAACCGAGCTCGAAATTACTCGAGGAAAGGTAGTTTTAATATATTGATTTAAAATACCTGCTAGTGATGTCTCACTGTTGTTTGCCCTATATCTCCTTAGCCCTTCCAAGGGCTGAATAATAGAATTATTATTCTTTGACTCATCATAGAAGAAGAATTTAATGTTCTGGCCCACCAGCGGAGCTGGCAGCAGAGGCAAACAGTGAGGAGGTTGGGGAGGAGCATGAGCCAGACCTGGAGGCTGGGGAAGGCTCGGAGGTGGCAGAGATGGGGCCGGCTGGCAGTGATCAGATGCCTACAGAGCTAGACAGCAGTGAGGAAGAGGAACAGCTAGAGCCTGTTCTCAGTGTGTGCATGAACTGAGCTGCCAGAAGAAAAGAACAACTTAGAAATCAGGGTTGACTTGGGAGTAAAGTCACAGGTGGAAGGTGATTGTATCTCCCATAGGAAATAAAGGAGGAATGAAAGGGGAGGGGGCTTTTGCAGGAAACAATCCATTCATTCAGTCATTAGATTCGTTTCAGGAGTGTGAAGATCTGTCCGTGAATCTCAGAGACTCTGTGCCGAGTCTTTTCTTGCACAGCATCACATTTGGAAAATATTTACATGGCAGCTTTCCAAGCTAGATAAGGTCTGTGGTCATAAATATTCCTTTGAAAAGACTGCCAGGCCTTNTTGGCAGATGTGATCGGTGTTACTCTGGGGTATCCATTATGGCCTGTTCACCGTGGGGGACACCCTTCTGAACATACAGACATCCAACGACATAGCCCACAATTTCATATACCCCACACAAGCCCCTTCACCTCGTCAAGGCCCCTGATCGTAGAATGGGGAGGGGGGGGCCTTGACGAGGTTGGTAACATGCGGAAGAGGCTTCCATCCTGCAGTGGGTAAGTCAACGGCTAAAACGATGAAAACAATGATTTGTAGACTCACTCCACAAAGTTGTTCATAGCCGCTCGAGGGTTGCAGGAGACGTAAAGGAGCTTTTTCAAGTGCTCGGCTTTTCGGATGGCGAGGATCACTTTGGAATCTAGGAAATTATACATGACTGTAGGCTTTTTTGGCTGTCGTGACAACTCTGAAGAAAAGGCAGCTTCCTCCCCCCCCCCCCAAAGAAACAACAGTTAGCTCCAAATGAGGGAATGTTAAAACTCTACCGTAACAAAAGTAGGAAAGAGCAGAGAGTAATTCTACAGATCCTTTTCCACCAGGAAAACGAAGTCTTCATATCGTTCAATGTTACCCTAACTCGCTTTGCAGCATCTCTCTATTACATTCCCAAATCTCAAAAGTCAAATTTGGCTTTTTTCCCCTCCCTCTCCCAAAAGTAGTAAAGGATAAATTAGAAGATTGTTTACTGATCTCAAAGGACAGGAAAGTGGCCGGGGTTGAAAAACCTACGAGCAAAGCAGCAGTTGCTTCTCTTCCCATGCCCAATCCGTTTTTGTGTTTCCGCACATTTCCCTGTACCATTGTGTAAATTTAAAATTCCATTTAAATACGGCCCTGAGGTTCCCCCTCCCCACTTACGTAAACCTGCTCGTGGGGGATCCACAATTGTAACTGTGTTGTGTGGCGCTAACATGTTCACCAGGCGAGGAACAAGCTCTTCAGCTTTCCCACAGTGGAATTCAACATTCATCAAGCCTGAAAAGGGAGCAAAAAAAGAATATGTTTATGTTAAAACCTTAACGTCGTCTTCCTTCTTCNATTCCCCAGCCAGCGAATGCATTCGCTGGCTGGGGAATTCTGGGAGTTGAAGTCCGGACATCTTCAAGTTGCCAAGGTTGAGAAACACTGTCCTAGGAAGAGTCAGAACAAAGATTGTTGTCATACAACGGGGATATAAAACCGGGGAGGAGGGAGGAATCAAGATTTCCCCTCTGAGTAAATAAACACCAGAGTGTAACTGATGAATTGGCATGTGGAGCTCTTTCTCAGTTCTTCTCCCTGAGCTTTTTCGCAAAGCGTCTTTTGTAGGTGAAACAAACTTGTCCAGGCCAAAATGAACCTGGAGATTTAGGGAAATGGGTGAGCTCACCGGAGCTGAGATACGTGAGAGTTTTCCAATGAAACAGCATCCCCCAGGTGAAAATGTTTACTCACCTGTACTGGACACCAGCTGGGCTGAAGGTGTGTTGACGCCTTAGGCCATCAATACAACAGCACTTGCCTCTCGGCTAATTTCAAATTATTGGAAACAGCAGGAATTCCCAGGGTGCCCTAACCCATACTTTGCGTAACCACTGGTTTGTTGAATAAGAATCAATAACTGGATCCAAAAAGCATGACAAGCTATGTTGCGGTTGAGTAAGATCAAGTATAATAACAATCCACCTCTGAAGAGCCAGTTCCAACTCCGTCTTTGATCTACAGAGACAGACTGGTGCAGAGGTAGCCACGTGTTCCAGAAACGGTGATCGGTGGTTCGAGAAATAATTCCTGAAGTCCTTTTAGCAGGAGAAAATCTTGAATCCTTGGAGAATCCCATACTGTTCCTCTTCCTTCTCCAACACTACTTTTAATAATCTGTTCGGGTGAACAAACGGTTTCAAAGCACAGAAATATATAAAGGTCATCTCAGAAGGCCACCAAAGGCACCAACATTGACCCACAGGAATCAAGGCGGAAGACCTCGTCCTATCTCCTTTCTATAACCATTTATGGAGGACCTTCAAAACCAGAACATCAACTTTAGAGGTTGGCTTGGAGTCTCTTTAAATGAAGCTAAATTAAAAAGGTAAAGGTTCCCCTCGCACATATGTGCTAGTCGTTCCCGACTCTAGGCGGTGGTGCTCATCTCTGTTTCAAACCCGAAGAGCCAGCGCTGTCCGAAGACGTCTCCATGGTCATGAGGCCGG